ATCATCCCCATCAACACCAAGCACTCGCCCACTATCTCTCAGAACTCTCCACACATTAGGGGACTGACGCGTGAGGGAAGTGAAGTGAGGCTTAGGGAGGAAACAATGGTGGGCTCCTCTAACTAACCACCTAAAAGCATTTGGGTTTGCCGTGGGCATGATAAAATCAGAACGGCGAAGCTCGTCCAAATCAAGGTAAATATCCCCACTACTACCTACGGCCGTGCATAGAGTTAGAAGGTCTGTGTAACCTAACTTGGTGGGCAATCTAGTGACCATCGCCCCGCAATGTATCTCCCCTGACTTTTTCACTTTTGCTATGGCTTGACAAGTTTGCATAAAGAGGAAACCCAAATTCAATCTCCATGCATACTCTCCCTTTGTGGCTATCCACAGGCAAAGGACCTCTTCCTTAGTTAGCTTACCTAGGTCTTGTTTACTAATGGTGGAATATCCTAATAAACGGTGCAGGATCCTAAGGGCAGGGTGCCAAATCTCACTGGCTATGGAATGCCTGGTATGAAACTCATCTTTGCCTGAAATGGAACGCCACCAAGCAAACTCACTATACTCCCCAAAGTGTTCATAAAGCGAATAGAGGAGGTCTGCATCTGAGTGAAAGTCCAGGGCTTGGTTTGTAATACCCCGTATTTTTTATGTATTTTATAAATTATTTAATTAATTATAAAATATATTTTTAAAGTACTCAAGTATTTTAATTAAATATTTAAAGGGCTAAAGTATTTAAATTATTGAGTTTTATAAAAGTATAATTTATTTTGGGCTAAACGCTTATTAATCGTTTGAACTCGTTTAAATAATAGTATGTAAACAATCCTTACATACTCCTTGTGGACCAACCCATCATTTAAGTAAGCCTAGTTCTTTTATTTGAACCTTTGTGGGTCAAATATTTCATAACTAAAACCTATTATTTTAAGCCCAACCCTAGTCTTTATTCCCTACTCTATAAATACCTCTCAATACCCCAAAATTTTCCCACACAAGAGATCAAAAATCAGATTTTGGGGTAAGTAATCTTTTCTTTTCTTTTCCCTTAATTTTCTTTTCTTTTCTTTTCCTTCTTTTCTTATTCTTTTTTTTTTTTTTTTTTTTTATGATGATGTTGTATGTGAGGGTTTTGGGAGAAAAAAAAACCCCACCTCACGCCACCTTGCACCACCTTGCTGCCGCCTCCAACATCCCGCCGGCGAGCCACCTCCGGCCGCCCAAAAATCGCCGGCAACCACCCCACCGTGAGCCACCCTTATCTCCTCTCTTGTTTTAATTATTATTCCTATAATTATATACTATGGATTTTAGATTTTAATTATTGAAACGTGATTAGTATGTTTTATAATTGTGTTTTAATGATTAAAGATTATAAATTTCATAGTGTAAAGTGTTTTAAATTATGATCTTTATAAAGTATTAAAAGTTAGGGTTTTAACTATTAAAGTGTTGATTTTTAGGGTTCTAATAATGAATTAAATTAAGGACTTCATTCCTATTGAATTTATAAAGATTTATTAAACATAAAAACGAATTTTAGGTAATCAAATTCCGATCTCCGTTCTTAATTATTTTTAATCCCGTTTTAATCACACTGATATTGTAACTCGTCCGAATTTTACAAAAAAATAATGTTTTCCGTGTGTAAACTCTCGTGGCCAAAATCAGCCTCTAAATAGGGTTTTCGGACAGTTTTTGATTTTTGACGAAGGTTTAATGTTTTAAAAACAATTTTCAGATTTATTTGGGGGGTTTAAATTTTAAAAAGTGTGCTGGAATTTTTATATAAACACCATGAATGAGTTTTTAGTTTGTGGTTTTAATTACCCACTTAAAGAAAGAGTTTTAAAGGTTTTAAACCAAAATTTCGGCTTATTAGAGAAGGTTTAAAGTGTTTAAAAGTTGCTAGAAATTTGTGTAATCAAGTAAGTAATTGAGTTTATGTATTTGGTATTGTAGGAGACTTTAAGTTGAGTAATTTCTAGCATCATGGCTAGTTGGAAAGATGATTTAATTAAGGTACGTATAAGAATACGAGAAACTTGATTTTAGGAGCATGTTTAGGGACTTGGAAAAAAACCTAGAATCATGCTAGGGAACTTGTGGATTGGTTGACATTGTTTGGTAATAAGTTGATTGATGATAAATGTGATGATTGGTTTAATTTATGTATGAGAAAATTTGCATTGATTTTCCTTATGAGCATTATTTATGCAATAATTTGCAAAGTGAGCTTAGAGGCAAAAATACAAGGATATATGGAATGAATCATTTTAATTACTTATTCATTTGTATTGAAATGGAATGAGTAAAGGAAGAGTTAAAGTCTTATAAGACAAGATTGTGGATATGAGGTGCCTTATGCATTTAAGGTGTTTATACACCGAGGTAGTTAAAGGATGCAATAATACATGTTGTTTGTCACTAATAAATTAAGAATTGAATTGGAAACTTGAATGATTTGTATGATTGATGTATGATTGGTTGTGTTGATTTCATGCGAGTCATCACCTAATCTAAACTGGTAAATCACGTAAAGTGCAAGAAGGATGAGCAATAAAACTCTTGATTTGTGCACATCTAGAGTAATGACAAATAGGGGTTGGGGTTCACAGGGTATTAGCCGTGTACTTTTCAGCAGCCGTCTGATCTACGAGTCTCTTGTTTTAAATTCTCTTAAAATTATAATGAGTTAGATGAGATCTCATACTAGCTATGGCCACGGAGTCGCGCCCGTCTGCCATTGGATGTTTATTAATGTCTTCCGAAAGGAGGCATAGGGTTTTCTTATTTAATGTTCCAGAATGGAGCACAGGGGGACAACCCGGTCTATTGCTTAATCCAATCAATTAATGAAGTGGTCAATGCTACTTAAATAAAAAACTTGTAATAAGTAACAATTGAATCATGTGTTCGAGTCAATGGTTATATTGAATGTATGGAATGCTTGTTAGTATCATGCTAAGGCTCTTTACTGTGTTTCGTAGCTTGTATGTACTCAGCGTTGCTGATGACGTGCTTTTGTGTGTTTCTCTTGGTCATGGCCTTCGCCTTCAATGACCCTGTAATGATCCAATTCTTACACTTGTAAAATTGGGGAGCAGATTAACCACAGGTTTTTGCATAAACTGATTTGCATCAGTGTGATGGGATTTGAGTGGAGCGTTGGTTATTCACTTAGCTTATTTTATATCATAAATCGAATTTTATTTTGGTTCTAATTCCATTTACTTTCTATTTTACTGGGTTTGAATAAGGGCCGTTATGGTTCCAACTTGTAAGTCTAAATTTGGTTTTGATTATTAGTTTTGAAACTTACATTTTCTTTTAAAACTAAATTCGTTTTCCACTGCTGATTTCTGAAACTAGCCTTAACGTTTTAACACGTGGCTGTAGCACGCCAGTAATTCTCTCACAGGTTATTAAAAGTATTTACAGGTTAACACAGGTTTTAAAGAGAGAATTATTGGGGTGTTACATGGTTAAACTGTGCTAGTGACATGGTGTGTTGGTTGTTAAAGAGTTGGAAAGATATCCGAAAGTCATTATCTTCTAGTGTATCAACTTGGAAAGACGAGAAAAACTCTAAGGTGGGTTCTTAGTAGGTCATAAATGAAGAGTTTACGAATGACCCTATTTGAAGATTATCAAAAAGAATCCACAAGTCATCATTTATCCCAAGTTTTATCATATCTCCCCGATGATAGTGTCTAGAAGGTCGCAACTTTCTTTTTTTCATATCAGAGTATATTGAGGAGTGGCTTTTTTTTAAGAACTTTAAGGTTGGCAGGGTATTGGGTTGGTCCGACTCTGGGTTTTGGGACGATTGTCCCGACTTTGAGGTTTTTCTCTTTTTCCCAATCCTTGTACGTACTCATGACTACCCTTTTTTTTTTTTTTTTTTTTTTTTTTTTTTTTTTCTGTTTTCACTCCTTTTTCAAAGTCAACTCCTGACTATTTCCAACCTTAACCTCCACAAACCACAATGTACCTATTTCACAGCAATAATAATCCAACAACCACAACCAAATATATCCAACAACAATTTCAACAATAGTCAACAGTGTCCAGCAATATATTCAACAATAATCAACGAAATCTCGATAATAACTAAAGATAACCAAAATCCTTACTTTAAAATTAATCAAAAAAGATAAAAATAACAAAGGGATTTTGAATACCTTGACATTTGTGTGAAAAATTGTTGTTTTTGGCTGATGAATGGCAGCGCTTACGGGAGATGAACGACGATGATGATGACGAACGATGATGATGATGATGAACGGTGATGATGATGATGATGAACGGTGATTGCGGAAGATGGGAGAGATCTTGAGAATAGGGCGTGTGCTTTAGAGAGAGGAAGGTTATGTGGGAGGTGGGTTATGTTTGTGAGGGATGAAGGGGTTTAGGAGACGAAGCCGAAACCGTAAATTTTTGGGAACCCAGATTAGCGCGCCCGCTCCAATTCAAGCGCGCCCGCGCCGTTCAGTTTTCGCGGATTGTGCTGAAAGCGCGTCAAAATTGCGCAGACTCCCTAGATTGTGTAAATTTTCGGACCAAAACATTGGCACGCCCGCGCTATCTTGATTTCGCGGACCGCTCCTAAATCGTGACAAAATCGATCCAACTCTCTGGATTGTGGAGCTTTTCAGACCTTGATTTAGGCGTGCCCGCTCCAAATTTGCACGCCCGCGCCACTTTGTTCTCGCGGATCGCTCTTCAGTCGCGACCAAATCGTGCTGGCTCTCTGCCTTTGGTTTGCATTTGACCTTAAATTCTCAAAAAAATTCATTTTGCTACAACTCTTAACTCTCTTTTCTCAAAAAGACACACAATCACACCTACATCACAATAGAGCAAGAAAAGTGTTAGATGGATCAATTTAAGTGTTTCAAAAGAAAATAAAATCAAACTAAGCTAGAGACCGGGTTGCCTCCCGTAAGCGCTTTGTTTCACGTCGTTAGCTCGACTTCCTTGAAATGAAATCAAGGGGACTTGAACACATCAATAAGTGACAAATTTTCTGGTTTTGCGATTGGTTGACCCTCAAAATATGGCTTGAGACAGTGTCCATTCACTTTGAATGGAGGGTACTTGTCATTGAAGATCTCGATTGCACCGTACAGGAAGACCTTGGACACTTGGAATGGGCCGCTCCATCTAGATTGTAGCTTTCCGGGAAAGAGCTTGAGCCTTGAATTGTAGAGTAGGACCTTTTGTCCTTCCACAAACTCTTTCTTGGAGAGTTGCGCGTCATGCCATGCTTTGGTTCTAGTCTTATACAAACTTGCGCTATCATAGGAATTCATGCGGAGCTCTTCTAGCTCATGAAGATCTAGCAACCTTTGTTCACCCGCGGCATGGAGATCAAAATTGATTTTCTTAATGGCCCAATTTGCCTTATGCTCCATTTCAACCGGGAGATGACAATTCTTCCCATACACAAGCCTATAGGGAGTTGTCCCAATTGGAGTCTTAAAGGCGGTCCTATAAGCCCATAATGAGTCAATGAGATTACTAGACCAATCCTTCCTTGTTCTAGCAACGACCTTCTCCAAGATGACTTTCAACTCCCTATTTGTGACCTCTACTTGACCACTTGTTTGGGGGTGGTAAGCAAGGCCTCGCTTGCGCGATACACCATACTTTGAAAGAAGCTTGTTGAATGTATGGTGCTTGAAGTGTGAACCTCCATCACTTATCATTGCCTTAGGAACACCGAATCTTGGAAAGATGACTTTCTTGAACAAATTAACAACCACCTTTGAGTCATTGGTAGGAGATGCCACGGCTTCCGCCCATTTGGAAACATAGTCAACGGCAACAAGAATGTGTCGGTTCCCTTGAGATGAGATGAAAGGGCCCATGAAGTCAATTGCCCAAACATCAAAGATTTTGAGCTCAAGGATCGGATTTTGAGGCATCTCGTCACACCTTGAGATGTTTCCTGTCCTTTGGCACCTATCACATGTCTTCACAAAGGACCAAGTGTCCTTAAACAAAGTCGGCCAAAAGAGCATCGATTGCAAGACCTTAGAGGCGGTCTTTTGGGCACTCATGTGTCCACCACAAGGGGATGAGTGGCACATTGAGAGCACACTTTGGAATTCTTCATCGGGAACACACCTCCTCAAAAGCCCATCCACCCCTCTTTTCAACAACGTTGGATCATCCCATATGTATTTCTTGGCTTCATACTTAAGCCTTCGTTGTTGTTAAGGAGTGAAAGTTGGTGGAATATCACTACATGCAAGGTAATTGACGATGTCGGCAAACCAAGGGGTTTCCTTGGCATCAAGAGCATATAGCACATCATCCCTTAAAGCATCTTCAATCGGAAGGTCGTCTTCAATCATTCTTGTGCTTCCCAATCTTGAAAGATGATCGGCTACCACATTCTCGGCTCCCTACTTATCTCTTCATTCCAAATCGAAGTCTTGAAGGAGCAAAACCCATCTCAACAACCTTGGCTTTGCCTCCTTCTTGCACATCAAGTACTTAAGAGCCGAATGATCGGTGTACACTATTGTCCTAGACCTAGTGAGATAGGGCCTAAACTTCTCAAAAGCATGAATAACCGCTAGGAACTCCTTCTCGGTTGTGGTGTAGTTCCTTTGCGCATCGTTGAGAGTTTTGGACAAATAGGAAATCACATGTAGCCTACCGTCTTTTCGTTGCCCTATAACCGACCCAATGGCCTCATCACTTGCATCACACATTAATTCGAACGGTAGCGACCAATTAGGTCCTTGGACAATTGGAGCGGAACACAAGGCTTCTTTCAACCTAAGAAAAGCACTCAAGCAAGATTCATCAAATACAAAATCTTTATCTTGTTGTAGAAGAGATGTGAGGGGCTTAGCAATCAAAGAAAAGTCCTTAATGAAGCGGCGATAAAAGCCGGCATGACCAAGGAAATACCTCACTTCTCTCACATTTGTGGGAGGGGGAAGCTTCTCAATCACATCCACTTTTGCACCATCAACTTCGATGCCCGATTGGGAGACCTTATGGCCAAGCACAATACCATTCTCCACCATGAAGTGACATTTCTCCCAATTGAGCACCAAGTTGGCACTCTCACATCTTTCTAGACAACGAGATAAATTCAAGAGGCACATCTCATATGTACCTCCGCCCACAGAAAAATCATCCATAAAAACCTCCATCTCTTCCTCAATCATGTCACTAAAAATTGACATCATGCATCTTTGGAAGGTAGCCGGAGCGTTACAAAGACCAAATGGCATCCTACGGTAGGCAAAGGTACCGTAGGGGCAAGTGAAAATGGTCTTTTCTTGATCCTTTGGGTCTATTACGATTTGGAAGAATCTCGAATAACCATCAAGAAAGCAATAGAATGCATGCTTTGTAAGCCGCTCAAGCATTTGATCGATAAACGGTAATGGAAAATGGTCTTTGGAAGTATTAGCATTCAATTGGCGATAGTCAATACACATACGCCAACCCGTCACAAGGCGGGTTGGGACCAATTGTTGCTTGTCATTGACCATTACCGTCATCCATCCCTTTTTGGGCACTACTTGAACCGGGGACACCCAATCACTATGAGCGATTGGATAGATGATCCCCGTTTCAAGCAACTTAGAAACTTCCTTCCTTACAACCTCTTGCATGGAAGGATTAAGTTTCCTTTGCCTTTGCCTACACGGCTTAGCACCCTCCTCCAAATCAATTTTATGCATGCATAGAGAGGGGCTTATACCCTTGAGGTCCTCAAGGGTATAACACAAAACCTTTCTATGCTTTTTCAAAACATTAAGCAATAGGGAGGTTTGCTCATCCGTGAAGCTTGCATCGACAATGACCGGGAAGGATTCATTTGCATCTAGGAAAGCATACATCAAACCCGAAGGTAGAGGTTTCAAGTCTACCTTCAGTGCTCCCTTACCATTGGAGACCTCTTCCTCTTCTGCTTGGAAGACTTCATAAGTTGGGAGTATCTCTCGGTCGGTGGTTGCTTCCACTTTGTCATCAAGCATCTCCTCATATACTTGCATCTCCTCCTTTTGATCACCTATCTCATTCTCATTCAACAAAACATTCTCAAGTGGATCGTTAGAGGCATGCACATAAGGGTATTGAAATTCATTCATCAAATTTTCAAAAGTATCTACCCTAAAGCATTCATTACTTGCGAAAGGTTGTTTCATGACATTGTTCAAATCAAATTCAATAGAGTCATTATTAACCTTCAAAGTCATTTTACCTTCTTTAACATTAATTATTGCTTTAGAGGTTGCTAGAAATGGTCTACCCAAAATTATAGGAATCCTCTCATCCTCATCCATCTCTAGAACATAAAAGTCCACCGAAAATGTGAACTTACCAACTTTAAGGGGAATGTCCTCAACTTTCCCTATGGGAAATTTAGTGGACCTATCCGCTAGTTGGAGGGTGATGTTAGTAGGCGAAAGGCTTCCCACATTGATCTTTTGGTAGACCAAGAAGGGCATAAGACTTACACTAGCGCCTAGATCGCACAACATCTTTCCTAAGTGAATCTCATTAATGGAACAAGGAATGGAAAAACTACCAGGATCTTGCAATTTTGTTGGAAGCTTGCTAGAGAGAATGGCACTACAATTTGCGGTCAAGTTTACGGTTTCAACTTCTCTCTTCCCATTCAATAGGTCTTTTAAGAACTTAGATTAGTGGGGCATCTCCTTCATGGCATCCACAAAAGGTATCGAAACATGCAAACCTTTGACTACTTCTAAGAACTTTCCAAATTGGGCATCAAGCCTAGACCTAGAAAACCTTTGGGGAAATGGCAATTTCTCATTCCTAGGTTGTCGATTTAGGGGCAAAAGTGTTTGATCTTTGTCACTCTCTTTTGTTGGCTCCTTCTCTTTTTGCTTCTCACCCCCTCATTTTCCTTCTAGGACCTAACTCTCTTTAGGTGGCTCATCCTCATCTTCTAATTATATCCTCACATTTGAACTCTTCTCATTATTTGACTTACTCTCAAGGACTTTTCCGCTCCTAGTAGTGATAACATACATAGGTTTGGGGTTGACACCTTGACTAGGAAAAGAGGAAGAGGAAGAAGGGGAGGATGAAGAACTAGGTTGGGCTATTTGAGAGATTTGGGTCTCTAGCATTTTCATATGCGCCTTGATTTGCTTCTTTTCCTCCTCTTGGCTTTTGTTAAAGCTCTATTGATTCTTGATGAATGCTTGAAGCACGCCCATCATAGAATCCGGAGCGGCTTCCATTTGAGGAGGAGGTAAGTTGGAATGTTGGGCTTGCGGTCTCACTTGCTCAAAACCGGGAGGTCTATTTTGAGGCCTTCCATTTCCGGAATCCTGATTGGAATTAAAACTTTGTTGGTTGTTAGAATAGTGTTGTTGGTTTTGATTCCAATTGGGCCTTTGGTTTGAGTAACTTCTTCCATTGTAATTGGAAGAGTTTCCCCTACTTTGGCCTTGGTTATCATAACCACCACCACTTTGATTCCATTGATTTTGATTCCAACCTTGGTTTTGATTCCAACCACGGTTTTGGTTTTGATTCCAATTTGGCCGCATTCCAACATTTCCCTCACGGGGCACAAAATTCATGGTATTGACATCTTCAACATTATCATCATTTTCATGGGGAGAGGGACCTTCACTTATGGACATACATTGTTGAGAATTATGATTATAGTTTCCACATATATCACAAAACATACAACCGGAAGGCATAGCATTGTAATTAGAAGGAGAAGAAGTAGAGGGGCTCATACCATGGCCTCCCTTGGTAGAAGGGGAGGAACTTTGAGAATTCGTCTTCATAAACTCCTCCATTTGCTTAGCCATTTTGGCTATTTGGTTCGAAAGGTTGGTGATTGCATTTGTTTGCTCTATGGATTGCACCGTACCTTTGCTAGAAGTGGCTTCCCTCTCAACTTCGTACCAATCCTCATAATTGCGCACAACATCTTCTATGATACTCTCCACTTCATCTTCCCTTTTGTTCATGATTGGGCCTCCGGCTCCAGCATCAAGGCTAGTCTTGCTTTGAGGGGAGAGTCCTCCATAGAATTTTTGGAGAACTTGCCAATTAGGAATCCCATGGTGTGGGCATTGCCTTTGTAACTCCTTGAATCTCTCCCATGCCTCACAAAGAGACTCTCCACCTCTTTGGCGGAAACTTTGTATCTTTGAGCGAGTCTCGACGGTTTTCTTGTATTGTAAAACCTTGGAACGCCGTAGTTACCTCATTCCAAGTTGTGAGGGAACCGGGAGGAACATCCTTGTTCAACCAATGTTCCGCCGCTCCCATGAGTGAGAATGGGAACATCTTCAATCTTATGTACTCTTGGGAGACTCCATTGATCTTGATAGTGTCACAATACTTGAGAAACTCTTTGAGATGCTCATAGGGATTCTTAAATTTCCCACCGGTAAATTACCTCTTCTCTATCATTGAAATGAAATTAGGCTTTATCTCGAAATTGTTTGCTTGAGTGGTGGGGGCTAAGATCCCACTTTGAGAGGCATATGGTTCGGGTGCTCCAAGTTGCTTTAGTGACCTTTGATCACCCATGTTTCCTTGATCACCCATGCTTTGTTGATTATGGTTATTGGCAAATGGGTTGGGAATTGAGCCTGTGGATGGTTCACCCTCCTCACTTGAAGTGGGTGAAGATGGGGTAGGGGAACTTCTCACTTCCTCTTGAAGTGGGTCTTCACCTCTCTCCCTTTCTCATCTCATCAGAGTTTGCTCTAGCTCGAGGTCTATGGACATCAAAGGCTTAGAGCAATTATGCCTCCTGTGCATATACAAAGCTAAGCAGAAAGTGAGCACTGACAAGATACGGAAAAACAAAAGAAAGGAAAAAGAACTAGTCTCAATAAGAAAATAAACACACAATGGAAACCGTTTCCCCAACAACGGCGCCAATTTGACAGGCGTTATTTTAGGTCGTTACTAAGATACCTCTATCAAATTATATTTGTAGTCCTAAATATTCAACTAAACGAGTATAGAGGCAAGTTAAGGGTTGAACACAGGGAAACGATTAAGCACCGCTATTTTTCTCCTAATGTCAATTTAGTTCGGTCAAGAAATATGGTGGGTAAAGTAATGACTAAAGGGATGAAATAACAATTAAAACAAGCACTAGGGGGAAGGATCAAACATGCTATGAACTTAACAATGCTAGGCATCGGGAAATAGGTTTACATGCAAACCAAGCGACTCGTACAAGGCAATATCAAGAATACCCTCTAATCACCTATCGGGATTAAGAGCTTTCCTAGCTAGCATACACTTACACTATCGTTGTAAGGCATACAAACTAAGGTCATGCAATAATCAATCACCTAATGACTATTCCTAAATCACA